AAGCAATTCTTCAATATCACAACATCTCCATACAATCAAATATGAAGACAGCTGACCTAAAGGAGCTTTTACTGCAGCACTGAAACCCAATCTCAGCTGTACCAATAACCTTTGTATTTGACAGTAGTATTGAGAATTACACAGAGGCTCCTAACAAGGAGACGTCCCCTCTGATTCAACAACAACTAACTGATTTTGTTCGTGTAACTTTAGTACATGACTCAGTGATAAACTTGGTGAAAACACAAAAAGATATAACTGAATCAGAAAGCAAAAAAGCATTTGATCTAACGCCAGTGAAGCATGGATATACACCAGAACGACATCTGACGAAAAAACAAAAAGCAAAGAAATCAATGCGTAATCCACCAAGACAAGCAGACATAACCACATGAACAGATGATTCAGATGCTCTTGATAAAGAATCAAAAGTTAAATCATTTAAAGAATGATTAATGCTCTGCAAAACATAATCTCCTCCAGTGATAGCGAAGATGACTGATGAAAACTTTCAACTGTTAGGCAATCCTGATCTACGTTTTCAAAAACTTGATGAATCCACTGAGAATGAAAAGCAACTGATGCACTCAAAATTTTATACGTCTGATTTTTTTTTTACTTATCACATGATTATCCATGGTTAAAACAACAGAGTTATGGGAGTACAGAGAATTTGACAGAATGTTAACACCAAAATCTGGAAATGAAAATGATCACCTGGAGCAGGTCAGGTGCTTTATTTTAAAGAATGGTTTCCAAGATCCATTGATTATCTCATGTGATCTAAAAATGTGGCCAAGCTTATGTGACTGACAGAAACCATCGTCTTTGGGTGGCAATCAAAGAGGAATTTCCTTTTGTGCCATGCCATGTTATTCCTCACTGGCTGCCACCCATGCGATGGCTCCTGTAAAAATATTGAACTGGATTTGATAACAATATGGTCTAAGGAAGTTATACTTCCAGCACATTTAGGATTAACAGTGTTCCACCCCTACTGGTTCAATATTTAAAATAGCCAGTTCCAAAGTAGAGATCAGGGAAAAGCTAGACACACTTTGGCCAAAGGCCAGGAACTAGCCCTGTTGTTCAAGTAAGTCTTAAGTATGATATGGCAACTGAGAGGATTGCATTGTAGGTATTTTGTACATGTATGTACCATTGTCAGAAAAGAC